TCATGACTGAAATCCTTCTGTGACTCCTTACATTCCTTTCAGTCATTCTAGTCAGGGCATGATCGCCCCCATTTCCTTCGAAAATGGTTTTGATTTTTGGGACTATTGGATTTAATAAGGTTATAAATTTAAATATCTATTGTTTTATTTGGAATTAAACTTAGATCTATTTAGACTAGCATTTAGTTTTATTATAACTATCTTAGGTTTTTACAGGAGAGGAAATATAATATTTATGTTAAAGGTCCCAGTATTAGAAAGTAGGGGGCGGAGGATTTTTGAATTAGGCTACCGACCTTACTTCTGATTATTAAACCTAATATTATTTTGCTATCTTATTGTAGGGATAATTATTAAGATATAATCGTTAAAGAACTTTAACTCCTTGGATCCATGGAAATAAACTATGGGAGGGCCCCCAATAAAACCAACATATAAATAACTACTGATGGATAAGACTAAAACTCCTAATCTAATTTCTGTATAAATATAATAGTATGAAGTTAATTTTAGTAAAAAGTCTGACTCACTTAATCATTTTTAAGTTAAAACTAGATAAATCTTATCTTTACTCGTTATGACTCTAAATAGGTATCGTATATCTATGAATGTTAGGAGAACACTGGATCTAACTTTTAAATTGTTATAAAGGTTCTCTTTTTATGTATCCCTTATTACATCACAAGTAACACTAGGATTATTTTCTATTCAGTCTAAAGGAAAAATAGATAAGGGTTACAGGGAATATTCTACTTTGAATTAAGCTACCTTTAACACAATAGGTAAAAAATTACAACAAATAATGGATGCAGACATTTCTATGTATAATAAACAAATGAAATTTTTAAATTTAATGCAAGGTCAATGGATATAGAATAGACTTGAGTAAGATAGGGAATACAAAGTATTTATGGGTATAATTAATTCTTTTATTAAGGCTTATAATAATAATATTAAGACCCTATCTAATCCAGTACTTAGAGAATCAAACATTAAAGGTGTAGCTTTATTAGTCTTTAATATTTTAATTCCTTTATTAAGTAAAGAACGCCAACCTTTTACTAACATTTTAATGACCATTGGTAAAAAAGTCATGAATATATGGATATATGACCAATATGAATTAACGGGAAAAACTATCCGTTTGCTTTCATTTAAAAAATCTTATATCGCGGAAAAAGGCCTTGAGTATACATTTAGTTGTAATGAGGTTGGAGGTATATTATAACATAAATTTTATCCGGCAAAAGATTGAAACCTAACAAATGGTTTATATCTTATATAGCTCAGTCTAACTTCCGATAACCGAACCACCCATTATTAAGGTAAATTCTAGGAAATTTGATGGTCGAGGCCATAAGTTATAATATACTACGCATTATTTTTGGAGTAAGCGTACGGTCCCAAAATATCATTTACGCTGAAATAATTTTTAATTTTTAGGGCATAGAACTAAGATCCAAACCTCTACCTAAAATTTAGACAAATATCTAAAGGTACAAAAATATCTATACCTAAAGCTTACAGTCTCATAGTCATTTTTTGGACCTTACAAATTTTAATATAAAAAGCTTACGATTAAAGTATAACAA